TCCCTGGTAAGGGCTGGGATTTTTTGTCACGTGAATTTGGACTTCTAGTATTTCTCCGGGGTTTCCGGGACCTTTCCACGGGCGATACTCATCTGCAGCGTGGCACTTTCTGTCACCGGGTGTTTGTCGCTCTGTGTGATGTCTTGGTGGGGAAAAAAGTCAGTCACAGACAATTTTTAAAAAATCTTTGAACTATGGGTAGAAAGCTTAAATAGGAAAGGGGGGGGGCAGTGAGGTGGAAGGGTAGAAGCACCGAAACAATTGAATATTTAGACCGAATTCTTTATTAATGAGTGAAGTCGCCCTGGTGTAGCGGTTAGACAGTCGCCTGCGGACGTGGAGGTCGTGGGTTCAAATCTGCCCCATCTGTTTGCCTGCCTGTCTGTTCTCGTCCAGTGGTCTTCTTAGCGGTTGCAGGTTTAAACAACGGACCAACATCATGGCACACGGGTAGTAACCCATACGTGCTCCGTTCTTCTTTTAACGCAAATCTGAGCCCAAAGAAGCTCATCACAGTACACAGGCTCTGTAGCACCGGCGAGAATCCTGAAGTACTTTGGGTAGATTTTTAACTCCATATTTTGCCCGGGCAGCGCCGTTAGGCTACTTTTTTCGATTTCCATCTGCAAAGGGATTTTCTTCGAGCGCAACAATGCTCACGGGCGTCCGATCTCACTAACCAGAGACAAGGGGGAATTACTAGAAGTCCAAGTCCACGTGAAAAAATCCCAACCCTTACCGGGGATTGAAACCGAAACTATCACTTGAGGCGGACACCATGCCTCGAGACCACGCAGCCCCCCCCCCCCCCCCCCCCCCCTCTCGAAACTCCACACTTGATTTCTGTAACATCAAAGCGGCCTTCTTTACTTCTCATGACATTATCTTGGAGATATTTTAGGCTATTTTTATTTTTTTCCCGGTGGAAACAGGAGTGAAGCAAGGCTGTGTCCTATCGCCGATGCTTTTTGGTATAGCAATCGACTGGGTCATGCGCAAGTGCATAAATAACGCAAATTTAGGCATTACATGGGTTGACAAAATTCTGGAAGACCTAGACTTCGCCGACGACATAGCACTCCTGAGTTCAGAACACACAGACGCCCAAGAAAAAATCAATCGACTCCAGAAATTCTCAGAACAAATTGGACTCCAAATTAACACAGCAAAAACAAAAATTTTAGACTTTACCAACAGTTCAGTTGATATCACGCTGAACAACAACAGCCTTGAAAAAGTCAATAAGTTTCACTTATCTAGGGAGCAAGATGTCATCTACAGGAGATACCGCACCAGAAATACCATTTAGAATAGCACTGGCATCTAGTGCCTTCAATAAACTGTCTAACATCTGGAAATCAAAGACACTTAGCAAACACACAAAACTCAAGATCTTCAATTCTTGTGTGATTCCAGTACTAACCTATGGATGCGAGAGCTGGAAATCAACGAAAACTCTAGACACCAAATTAGACAGTTTTGAAAATAAATGCCTTAGAAGAATACTAAATTTCAAATGGTCAGATTTCCAAACAAATACACAAATAAGGCAAGAATCCAGGCAAGAGTATGTGTCTAATTTTATACGAAAACAACGCTGGAACTATGTCGGCCACGCCCTTAGAATGGATAAATCAAGACTTCCTTACCAAGCCCTCATTTGGACACCACATGGGAAAAGATCTCGTGGAAGACCAATAGAAACCCTACGTAGAACTATCATCAGGGAAGGCTCGCTCATGGGCCACTCAAACATCCAAGACCTACAACGGATTGCAACGAACCGCCGTGCATGGAGAGTCATGACCTCTGCCCTATGTGCCGCACTCGACACAAGAGGAAAGACTAACTAACTAACTAACTAACTAACTATTTTAGGCTAGGCTGTCTAAAAGACTTTTAAAAAAGCAAACCTGAAACAAAATTGTTTTTGAAATATGATATATTGAGCTACAGTTTTTGCGAAATAATACAACGTCACTCTGTGATGAAACGAAACAATTTTATTTTATTTTGCTGATATTTCATTTTTTGTTTAAAGAAAAAAAAGGTAAAGTCGACAGATGTGAACCAGCAAACGTGCACACGGTTATAAACCATAAGTGCTCCGCCATCAGTACGGACAGCTGAAAAGAAACTGTCCGTCTCACGTAACTCCGTAGCTACAGCTCTCTATTTACCCCAGAGTGTTAACTCTGGTACCCATCACCTACAAACTGGGTGAACCCTGGGAACGACCCAGTTTCGAACACTGTCGATTGGCTACAGCGAGTCGCAGCTGCATTTGACAGCGAGTCTCCTATCGGCTGCGCTAACGCGGCCCTAAACATTATAGACATGTGTCTATACTATCCCATTTGACAATGCTCTATCCAGAGACCAAACGCATCCAAATTGTATTATGTTTGTAAGAGACACTAATATGAAAATCTAAAAAAATTAAAAAAACCTGCTCAAAATATTATTCCAAACGATCAGTTGAAGTGTATGGCAGCCAGTTTTAGTCATGAAGGGGTACAAATGGTAGACGTACACACACACACACACACACACACACACATACACACAAAGGCGCACTAGCACACACATACACACCCACACTTAAACTGTTATATAATTGAACAAAAAAGCATACACACATATTAGCACATACATACACACATACATACATATATATATATATTCCGTGTGTTTTTAAATTACAGTATTTTTTCTGGCAAAATATCAGAATATTATCATTAGTGATTATAATTAAACTGTTGGCACAATTCCGTCTCTCCAGATGATTGTTCATTACTGTGCTATAGGGGGTTGGGGGGGGGGGGGGGGGTAGGCATGAGAATCGCCACTCATGGTGATGGCCAGAATGTGACTAACAAGACCTGCCCGCTTGACGAAAGGTCTTCTACAGTTATATAGGATTTCCGGACCATAGTTGCTAGAGCATGTATTTAATATGTTTCTTCTGCCCGGCTCGCAAGCGTAGTTGGCTAAACCGGACTAAGCAGCGACCTTGTGACAAACTCCTTGTGGTGCGGGTTCATGCCCGGGGTAGGCAGAAAAGCCACATTTCTCCCAGATTTATGGTATCTATCATGGAATCAAGGCGGAATGGTATTGATATCCATAATACGGAAACAAAGAGTTAACAACTCATGGTTTCTTAATTTAAAAAAAAAGAACAAGTGTTTCTTTTCAGACGCTGAACTTTTAACATATCTACAGTTATTTAATCCTTTATTCCAATTCTATTCCTAATTTTCCTCCTTCCAAACAGCACGGTCTATAGCAGTCTGTTCAGACAAATCCACACATACATTTTGACTTATGTGCGTTATAGATATATATTTATATTTATTTTTTTCAAACGATTCAAAGCAAACAGTATGCTCACAGTTAACTGAGTAACAAGAATGTAAAATGTACATTGAAGCAGAGACACACGTCGACATTTTTTTCCCATCCTTAATTCACAGTAGGTGATGTCCATAGGGAATGCACCGTCATCGATTCTTCGAGTATGTTCTAGCTATCTGAGCATTCCGAGACTGAGCATTTGGAAAACTGTCGGATACTTGCTCTTTCCAATATCTCAGTGTTTGTGATATTGTCTTGCCACCTAAGGCGAAATATTCTTCATTGGCATCGCTTACGAAAGCTGTTAGCCATTTCTTCTGCTGTTTAGCTATTTCTCCTGCTGTTCAGCTATTTCTCCTGCTGTTTAGCCATTTCTCCTGGCGCGAATAATTCGATCAAACTTCTCTACCGTATAGAAAAATGCTGAAAACACAAGCTTGACAGACAAGAGTTTTTGTTTTAACCATGAGTTTTCTGTTCCCCCAAGCACTTTTGGGTAATCAGCTTATTATTGTTGCTGCCTTACCTATCCTAATGTTGATTTCTTGGTCTAGCGATATTGGGTTATACATTAAGGGTCTCAGCTGTGTAAAGCAGTAGACTTCTCCCAGTTATTCCCCATAAAAAAAAAGTCTACACGTCTATTATTAGAACTGGCACCATAATCTTTCTCTTCTTTTTGCTGACTGTTAGTCCAAACTCAAAACAGGCATCAGCAAATCACAAAAATAGTACTTCAACAGATATGCTGTTTATTTCTTATGTGGTCCAGGTGCACGTAATATACGACTTCGGCAACTAAGGGAGGCGATCAAATCCAGGTCAACTACAACTGACATTCCAAGAGAGGCGATCAAATCCAGGTCAACTACAACTGACATCCTAACTAAGAGAGGCGATCAAATCCAAGTCAACTACAACTGACATTCCAAGAGAGGCGATCAAATCCAGGTCAACTACAACTGACATTCCAAGAGAGGCGATCAAATCCAGGTCAACTACAACTGACATCCTAACTAAGAGAGGCGATCAAATCCAGGTCAACTACAACTGACATTCCAAGAGAGGCGATCAAATCCAGGTCCACTACAACTGACATTCCAAGAAAGGCGATCAAATCCAGGTCAACTACAACTGACATCCTAACTAAGAGAGGCGATCAAATCCAGGTCAACTACAACTGACATTCCAAGAGAGGCGATCAAATCCAGGTCAACTACAACTGACATCCTAACTAAGAGAGGCGATCAAATCCAGGTCAACTACAACTGATATCCCAAGAGAGGAGATCAGATCCAGGTGCACTACAACTGATATCCCAACTAAGGAGGAGATCATATCTAGATGCACTGCAAATGATATCTCAGCTAAGGGAGGAGATCACATCCAGATCCACTACAACTGATATCCCAACTAAGAGAGGTGATCAGATCCAGGTGCACTACAACTGATATCCCAACTAAGAGAGGCGATCAAATTCAGGTCAACTACAACTGATATCCCAACTAAGGGAGGAGATCAGATCTAGATGCACTGCAAATGATATCTCAGCTAAGGGAGGAGATCACATCTAGATCCACTACAACTGATATCCCAACTAAGAGAGGTGATCAGATCTAGATGCACTAAAACTGATATCCCAACTAAGAGAGGTGATCACATCCAGGTGCACTACAGCTGACATCCCAGGAAACGTCAGTGTTGCCGCCATGGATGTGATCGCTGCACCACCACCACCAGGCCTTGCCGACTATCATCACACGAGCTCCACTTGACCCTGGACACGTTGCTGCACTGTAGGAATATCTAGTCAAGCCGTTCCCTAGCTCATCTCGCTGGACGCAGTGGCCGACGCTGACATGTTTACTGCATCCGTGTGGATGGCTCACAATGATGACCAACGGCTGTTCGTTATCAGGTATGTATCCGGATAAAGGCAATGATCTAGCTTTTGAATGTTGAGTCGTTAAGTATTTAGTCATTAATGCTCCTCGCAGATTCTGCCATTCAGTTAGCGTCTTTCCCAGCCTCTCCGCCAGGTGGACGTCATGGGTCACGTACGTGATTTCCCATCGTTCATTGTCCATGCTGCTCTCCACGCTGACTACGTTAGTAAGGGTAACAACACCCCAGTCGTCATCAGGGCTCCGACCTTTATCGAAGAAAAGATGGCTTCTGATCTCTTCGTTGTCGCAATTCTCAGGAACAACATGGGCTGTAGTTTGGAGAATAATTTTGGCAAATTGCGTTTGTGGAGTTGGGGAAGTCTTACAATCCTTACACGGACAGCTTTGATCTACCATCATCTTTCCATTGGGATATTTGTGTACTTTGTGCACCAGCCCAGTTGCAACCGTCGTAATTACTGTCTTGGCATCGGGAGTCAACAAAGTTGCTGGCATTCTCGGGCACATTTTGTGAGTGACCTTATTTTGATGCAGTACATTGATCTGGGCCGTTAAATCAGACAAGGCCCGAACACACTCCACGATATCCTCGTCGTGGTAGGCAGGAGGTAAATGGTTCACATCAAAATGGGGTATAGATACAAAACTGCGATGACCTGGATTCTTGGTACAATCTCGGCGACGAAGATCAGTCTCTCCGCTTCCTTCTATCTGCTTGGCTAAAGAGAAAGAGAAATCGTTAAAATTAGTGGTATTGCATTAGTAAATTATCGAAGAGTGTGATAAGTTAGGTTGTCACAAATACTAGATCATATGTAGTGAGAAAAAACGTCATAACGGTGCCACAAACGCTATTATCATTAATTGTAACAGCATAATTTAGTGTAGAATAGAACTGCATAAGGCAGCATTGACTACGAAGTGACAGTTTTCACATAGACAAGATTATGTGTCATAGAGACAACACCACACAGACACACACACACACACACACACATATATATATATATATATATATATATATATATATATACATACATACATACATACACGCACATATAAATATATACACACACACACGCACGCACGCTCACACATATATACACACAACAGTAATGAGATCATCTTCATTAGTCCATTACAACACAAGAAGCTATTTCTACGCACTCCACACTACCAGCGCACGACATTAAGCTAAACTGATTTGAAAGGTTCCTGGGCAACACAAAACCCATGGCCTTGGGCGGAAGGGCCATAGAACAATACGGTTAGACTGCTTGTCTTCTAGAACACTGGTCTGGGTGCAAATCCTAGTAGCAATTTCTTCCCATCCTTGTGGCCCTGTGGTCGATCCAGGTACATCAAATGGGTTAACTTTTCCCGGTTCAACTTTTTTTTTTTATTTTTTTTTTTTCCATATTTCTTATCCCTACGTTTCTGGGAATTATGGTACAAGTGTGGAAGAGACAAACTAATACTACTGTGACATAAACAAGTTTAAAATGACAGTTGGGTTGAGTAGATTAAACACAATAAGAATGGGAAAGGTAAAACAAAAAGCTAAGAAATATACAAGATATGCAGACTGTCTACACACACACACACACACACACACACACACACACACACACACACACACACACACACACACACACACACACACACACAAACGTATAGTTTGTCGCCTGGTACTCCAAGAGGTAAAATTGGGTTGCATATTATTTACATGAATTTGGAGAACCAACACGGTTTTTTTTAATTCACCCAAACACGTTAAATCCATAAGTTTTTTTTTTTTATTATTAACCTTGGTTTCCGAAGAAAACAAAATCGTCACGTTCAACCAGCATCCCCAAACGGGGAGCTTAAGGTTATAATTGTGACTAGGTTATTTGCGTCAGATAAAATTGCTTAGTAGTGCTCTCCACTAAGATGATCCCGGAGTTCGCCGGAAAGTCCAACAGTATAGGGGTGTTGCGGTTTTAAATTAACACTGGATAACCCTAACCATAATCTTAACACCCCTGTAATATTGGACATTCAGGTGCGTGTTTGGGGTTAGTAAAAAAATAAAGAACTGTATATGTATATATTGTGTAAGTAGCGCATCTAGCTTGTGGTTCTAGGCTCATGTTTTTATAATCAGCACTATGTGGATGATTGGGTCATTGTCCCGCCGGTCTTCTTTACTTACCACGACATTACCTGTTACCTTTTTTAGGCTGGCAGGTAAAGTTTGATTTTGAGAAGCAAAATCCACCTAGACGTGGATTCGAACTCAAGACCTTCATGCTGACAGAGAAGTGTCTAATCACTACATTACAGCGTCTGCCCATCGCATACAGATTAACTCAATTCAAATATAAGTTAGGGGGAAAAAATACATATACTACCCTATTTGATTTTCTAACGTACAGAACAGATAGAAGTGCAGGAGACAAGCGACAGTAAAATGTGTGACTGGCGAAATAGGGAGGGAGCAGGTGATAGAGAGGTGAAGAAACAGACAGACAGACAGACAGACAGACAGACAGACAGACAGACAGACAGACAGACAGACAGACAGACAGACAGACAGACAGACAGACAGACAGACAGACACAGAACCAACGAACGAACTTTTTTTTCAAACGGTGTCAAACTGGGCACGCAGGCCCGTTATACATCCGACACTTTCAAACATTAATCTTTCACAGAACATATATATTTCATCAATAAAGCATGTCATGTTTATATGATAATATGCATATTATAAATATCAAGAAAAAACACAAAAGCATAGGTGCACACACATTCATTCATATATACAGAGAGAGAGAGAGAGAGAGAGAGAGAGAGAGAGAGAGAGGGGGGGGGGAGATGGAAAGAGAGAGTAAACAAGACTGAAAAACTGTGTTGCCATGTACCGTTTACAGAACTGTTTGCCTTTCTTTGGCCATTTGTAACGTTTACCACTGTAGGTTCAAGTTCTAAATTGCAACTGAATGTTGTGAAAATGCAGGTTACCCATGTGAGAGAGAGACATAGAGTAGAGGTGAGAAGAAAACGGTGGAGGGGGGATGTTTGTTTTGGTCAGCATACAAATAAACCAGATCTGTCAGAAGGATATTCACACAAAGCTCAACTTCTGGAAGACCACAGTCCAGAAGTGGGCGAACAGCCAAAACATTCCTCCAACATTTTTAGTCGGTAAACGCAAAGAATAAAAAAGAAGTCGATTACTGAAAAAAAAAATGGTATGGCAGCTGCCGACACGTGATTTTGTAAAATAATTATGAGGGAAAAACATTTGTAATGAAAATTTCTTGAAAGAAATTAACCTGCGGCGAGAACCGATTATCCGCAATAGAAGAAACAATCTTCTTTTGCTGGCACGTTATGAGAAAAAATAAAACTGGAATACGTCGTATTAACTAAAAACATTGAGAAGTCTTCTTCTTCTTCTTTGCATTCACTATCTGTAAACTCTTGTGGAAAGTTTTGGTTGCTCGTCCACTTCTGGACTGCAGTCTTGTTCCAGAACCTGACTGCTGCGTGTGTATCCGTTTGATAGATCTGACACATTTGTATGCAGACTGTTGGTTTCTTGCCTCTCAGACAGATGCACTCCGACTTTGAAGGAAGCTTCCAATTAGTCGACTCTTACGACATGAGTTATGAGTTAAATTATCTTCATCGCATTCCGGACACATCCATGGGCGCTCAGATTCTTCTTTCAACATATTCATCAGCATCGTGAGGTTAATAATGCCAGTCCTAATTTGCTTAACAAGACTTCGTGTGCGTCCGGTGTGCTTCTCATGCTTGTCTGTGCCGATCGTAACTCCTAATTCGCGGGGTTTTTTTTAGCAGTAATGTGGACACGTTGCTTTCAAAATCCTCTGAACGTCCTATCTCTCCTATCGAGCGTCACGACACAGGAGAGTGTGAGACTGGACGCTTTAGACGCTGGTATCCATTCCTCACCTGGATGAATGTCTGTAAGGCTGCAAACCTGCATGATGTCATCCTCTGCCCTACCCAGTCACGACTGACACCTTTTAAGCCTATTGCCCTTTTTCTTGAAGAGCATGTGGTGCAAAGGGGGCTTCAGATCTGAGCTTGTCTTGAGGTATGCACTAGCCCTCCGAATCTTGATCCTGTAGTTCATGGTAGGGAAGCCAAGAAGGTACCTCATTGCTACACAAGAGGTGTCTCCAGTGCACCCCGGAATAATGCGCATTGCTTCATTTTGCAATTTCTCAAGTCTTTCAATTTGAGTATGGCTGACCGTGAGGATGGCAAGAGCATATTCGAGCATATTACGACATGTTTTGGGTAGGTGGTGGGTCTATTCTTGTTCTCCCTACAATAGGGTTGAGAAGTAAATGTGAGCACAGGAGAGGATGTTGGACAGTTTGGCATCTTGACATAGATGACCATCCATATATGAACTGATGAATCCTACAACGATATAAATCTGTAAAAAAGAGTTGAGTACAGACTTGAGTGCCATCATGACACGGAATGGACTGTCAGGACTGAACCACCGTTTAGCGTGTGGAAAGTGTCATGGACAATTGTCAGTCCAAGCGAAACAAAGAACTAGTCTGCTTCACTGTACTAAAATCATGAAAGACTAAATTATCGTTGCGGCTAGGAAGCCTTTATCAGCATACAACACAAACAGACAATATATAAATTCATCCAGGGATTTTGCGTAGTAAAAAAAGGTGTCAGTACTCAAAACATCGTGTCTAAAACAGGTGCCGGTACTCACCACAGAGTGTCTATTACAGTAACTGTCTAAAACAGGTGCCGGTACTCACCACAGAGTATCTATTACCGTAACGATAAAAATATTCCCATTTTTAAAATGCCGGTACGACGTACTGTTGTGTACCGCCAGGGGAAAAAACAAGACCTACAATTATCCGTCACGATATTTCCATTTCATGGCTTGAAGAGTGGTATATATGTAAATAGTTTTCTGTCTATGAGAAGGTTGAAATTATTGCAACGTTACCTGTGCTAGTTGTCACGAAGGACGTTTTCTTGTATCTAAATTCTTGCAATCGCTTCAGCGCCTGCAGTTCTTCTGTGGGGTTGGACCGCTTCCGTTTCCCTAGCGATGTCCCAAAAGATCGATGTGCTATCATCTTCAACCCTGCAGAACATAAACATGATTCAGGCTTTCGAATGTAAATTCTACAGACGCATTTTATGAATTAGTTATTTAGAATACAAAACTAACAAATATGTCAGAGACAAAATATACACATTTGCCGGACATCAGGAGCCTCTCTTGGCAGTTGTGAAAGGTCGCAAGCTAGCTTGGTTTGGGCACGTGGTTAGACATGATTCTATTTAAAAGACTGTACTTCATGAAACATTAGGGGGTGTTCGAAGAAGAAGAGGGCAATGAAGAACCTGCAATGACAACATCAAGAAATGGATAGGACTAAGTTATCATACACTTATTCATCAAGCAGAAGACAGAGAAAGATGGCGGGTTTTATGTGCTAGTGCTTCCATCAATACACCTCCACTATCCTAATGGTTCAAGGGTTATGTTATGTAACATAAAACATTCAATCAGTTTGGCAATTCTGTGGTAATGGGTAGCTCCCGTTTCACTAGCGATGCCTCAAAAGCTGTATGTGCTGTCATCTTTAACACAGCACAACACCAAAGATTCAATCAGTAAGTGAAGTGCCCTCTCTACAATTAAGACTGTCTACCATGAACTGCCATTACTGCCTTTATTTACCACTTTTGCGGTGTAGATATTATGAGGGCCCTTTGGGAGCGAGTAAACAGTGCGGAGGCGCAGACAGATCACTACGGTCTGAGGAGAATGGCGCTGCGAGGGGTTACCAGGGGATCTGGCCGACGTTCAACACTCAACGGAAGGATGTGATGGATATACAATCAGACGGTTACTGGTACCATGGGAGTTGAAACATTTCGCCTGCTGGTGAATATGGGTACTGAGCACATATGGTCCTGCGTGCTGTAATGTCGTTTCCTAATTCAACATTCAACATTCGGTGTAGACATGGCATTTTGTTCCCAAGAATCTACCCCAATACATGTATTATTAATGTCCTGCTTGCATACACCTTTGCGTTGCAGTAGTGTCCAACCTTGGCATCGTATGCAAATCTGTAGTTCACCATAGAAGATGTTCTTCGGCGCTGCCAATTTCAGTACCCAGGTCTGACCCAGTCACCTGAACCTTCGGACACTGAACATTGGCAAAACCATTGTGATACCTGCTCTTTCCAATATCGCAGATTGTGTGATCTTGTCACTTAATGCCGCAGAGAAGTATGAAACTGTCAAATACAATATATGTTAGGTAAATAAAATTAAAGGACCCTTTTCCACCCCTTTGGCCGTTTTGAGCATTTTACTTCCATGAACTATACCTTGTACCCATACAAGTCTGGGTCGACCTTGGAGCTAAGGTAATTTTTTTTTAAGTCCGGCTCCGCTAATCGCTGAACCCCCGACCTTCTGATCCACAGACCAGCATCTAGCCGCTACCCCATGGCAGCTCCTGAAACAATATAGAACAGTCTAATTTTGTCACAGTCCTGCTGCAGTATGTGCAGGGAGATTCTCAATTGAAAACATTTTAGATTTTTTTAACCACTTTTAGACAATGATTAGTCGCCGTGGTGAAGCAGCTAGACGTTCGCCTGAGAATCCGAAGGTCGTGGGTTCGAATCAGAACGGAGCCAGATATTTTCAAAAATGGCCTTTGCTGCCAGGTCGACCCAGCCTTAAGTGGGTACCAGGAAACGTCCTGTTAGAGTAAAGGCGGCCGGTCTGATGTTGACCACATTAAACACCGAGCGCAGATCGGTTCAAAAATATATAGCTGGCCCTATATGCCCAATACACCTGAGTGAGTGAGTGAGTGAGTGATGTGAGTGAGTGAGTAAGTGAGTGAGTGAGTGAGTGAGTGAGTGAGTGAGTGAGTGAGTGAGTGAGTGAGTGAGTGAGTGAGTGAGTGAGTGAGTGAGTGAGTGAGTGAGTGAGTGAGTGAGTGAGTAAGTGAGTGAGTGACGTTCAACTCACCAGGACCGCACAGCGAGCGATGAACACCCGGTGACACAAAGTGCCACTATTCAGATGAGAATCATCTGGGTACGATTCCCAGAAACTCTGTTGATCCGTTAAGTTATATTAGAGCTCCCGAATACAGCCAGGGTGCGGCTTTCTAATAACAAAAAAAAAAACAAAAAAAATGGTTGGTCCCATACTGAGTCCTTTTTACCGCTTTGGGTGTCGTGGGTGATATAAGGTCACTTATATCTCATTGTACTTGTTGTAGCGATATCTTTACATTCCATCATTATTAGGTAGCCGGTCCTTCGCAGAACGTTGCTCTCATCACGGTCCGCCTGAAAGAAACTCGGTCTCTCGCCAGCTATCCCGCCTCATGCACTTTCATACTCAAGGAGTCACTTATATCCTGTGCCCATTTTCGTGTTGGTCAGCCCCTGCCCCTCCTTCCTGGTACCTTGCTTTCTGCTATTATTTTTTCCAATCCGTCGTGGCGCTTGATATGACCAAAATATTTCAGTTATCTTTACATTTACTTTTAGAAGATGTATAGATACAGTTATATAGTAACTATGCCTACCTTGTCGTCATCAGCACGTTAGCACACGGTCTTAGGTTTATCTAGTTAAACTGTTGAATTCTTTATAGTATGTTATTGTGTGTCTCTTGATACCGCTTTTCTAATCATTAAGTTCGATCTTATATACACGTGCTTCGAGTTTAAAATAATTATTGTATTTCTAATGCAAGACACTGAGTTAGACTGAAAGCACAGTCGGGTTTTCCCAATACGACCGTTTTATTGAAACACGCTAAATATAACACAAAACGTAACTCGAAAGCTCAACGCAGGGAATGGAAAAGAAGAACACAGACAAAACCGAACGTTTCGACCAAAGTCTTTATCAATCAAGTTCAACACGAAACCAAGAAGTACATAATACGGGAAACATATGAATAGGAAGGGCTATAATACGAAATGAAATAAGTAAGGCGTATGTAAAAAGAGGGGGAGAAATACGAATAAGTATTTCAAACAATTATTGAAGCATGACATTTTTAATCACCATCATTCTCTCGTGTAATCGTATACAGCTCTCACGCGTCCATTTAGTTCTATCCTGCGAAATTCTTTTGATACCATGGAAGGAATCTAGACCAACACTTTTGGCCTCGCTCAGCAACATAAATCTAAGGGATCTTCTTTGGGCGTCCTTGTTGTAGTCATTATTTCTACTTTTAGTCCTGAAGAATGTTACATGTGTGATTGGATTTACTATATACACAAGTTAATGTATTTCAATGCTTGTACATGTTATGATTAGTCGGAGCACGCTAAAACACTCAACATAACATTTATCTCCGAGAAGGGATATGTATGTGGGGCCTTATGGATGCAATATACCCATTATTTTGTTGACTTCACAGTTGACTCGCTGGGGCATTTTGTCCTTTGTTCCGAATTGTGTTTTTTTTTTTAAATATCCAGAAGCCATGAGTTGTGAACCCTTAGGCTCGGTATTATGGATATTGCAAGCCTTCGGCGTGGATTCCATGATAAATATCGTAAATCTGGGAGAAATGTGGCTTTTCTGCCTACCCCCGGGCGTGAACCCAGACCACAAGGAGTTCGTCACCCGGTCACCACGCAGTCCGGTTTAGCCAACTACGCTAGAGAGCCGGGCTCTTTGTTCCGATAACAGAATATAGGATATCAACCGACTAACGTCAAGTCATCCTACCCTTAACCATATCAATCTCTACATTTAATTGAATCACGGTTTCGCAGCGGCTTGATGCTCGTCTGGTGGTTCTAATGTCGTGTATTCGAATCCGCATCGGGCTGTTTGTTGCTGGGGACCCCCATATAAACTAACGGTTGAACGAGGTTTCTGGAACCTCTCCACGGGTGATCCTCATCCGAATGGCGACACCTCGTGTCACCGGGTGTTTATCGCTCAGTCTAATGTCCTGGTGGGGTAGAAAGTCAGTAAGAAAAGGAGGGGGAAAAATGACCCTGGTTCCCAAGTCAACAGGCCCGATGCGCCACAAGTGTACAAAGAGTTCTTTCTTCTTCGAGTCCCTGATGTTCAGTGCTATAGCTATCACCCGCCTCCATTGATCTCTATGAGTAGCCCTTTCTCTCCAGTTGCTGACACCGAGTGTTTCTAGGTCCGTCTGTACCTTATCTCTCGACCGTCTTTTTTTGTTCACCTTCGGCGACTAGGTTGCCAATTGGCTCGACGGTAGACGAATTCGGGACAGTATTTGGGTCTGTCTCATCTGATCGTATCAACACTGCATGTGTGCTTTTCGGGGCTTTTGGTAGCGTGCAATGCTAAGCCATTTTATGTGGCGCACATAACCTAGTCACAATTATAACCTAAGGCTTCCTTTTTCGGGGATGCTGGTTAAACGCTAATATTTGTTTATATATATATATTTGAGCAAAGCATTGCCGGTCCAAAGATTCGAGGTAAGCAGATTCTAGAACAACATAAGACAATTGGTCTTACAAGCGTTTTATTTTACAGATGGTGAATTCTGCTTCTTCTTCTTCTTTTTTATATATTATATATTTTTATATTATTTATATCTGCCTTTATGTCTCCAGTAAGAACTTCACTGTCTGTTGTAATTCAAACAGTGACCTGTAAAGTTTGGCTTGCGCCGTTGTTTCTCGTGACCTAAAGTTTTGTCTTGATATGTTTGTTGTACGTGGGACAGTCTTGGAGGACATGATCAGTTGTCTCAGCTGCTAATCCACATGTACACACGGTTGATGCGACAATCCCAAATTGTATGTACATGTGGCTGGGAAGTCGATTGTGTCCTGTTCTAAGGCGTAGAATAATGATTTGCTCTGGTCTGTCCATTACATGATAATCGTCCTGTATCAGTTTTGGTGTCTTTAAGTATGTATGTTTCCCATTTCATTTATATCTTGCACCACTTGGGTTTATTTATGTGTTCATTATGCGCGCGCGCACGTGTGTGTGTGTGTGTGTGACTACTGTTGTGTTATGTTATCTCAGCGAACTTCACTGCATATTGAGCATTCACGTGGGTGCTGAGTCTTCCCGTG